CGAAGCACAGCGTGGCCAGGTGCCGCGGCGCGCCCGAGCCCGGCGCGCGCGTGCGCACGGCGCGGCCCTGCAGCGGCGGGGCGCAGTGCTCCACCTGCGCCCGCACCACCCGCCCGTGAGTCGCGGCCCCGCGCCGCACCCGACGCCCCGCCCCGCCCCGCCCCGCCCGCGCACCTCGTGCAGCACGTCCTCGAAGACGCTCTCCTGGCAGCCCAGCTCCAGCAGGTGCCGCAGCGCGCCGTCCGGGTGCGCCAGGAAGCGGCCGCCGCGGCACACGGCACCCAGCGACTCGCGCAGCGGGTACGCCAGGAACTTGCCGCCGCCGCAGGCCAGCGTCACCTCGTCGCCGTCCTCGACGCGCACGGAGCCGTTGGCGGCCCGGTGCGACGTCACCAGCGGCATGTTGTCCGGCACGCACTCCTCGCACTCCAGGTCGATCACGCACGCCGCTGAAACGCGACTACCCTGCAGCCGGCTCGCTCCGATCGCGGTGCCGACGGGGTTAAACGAGATCGTGCATGTAAAACAATTTATTAGAGATTAAACTGATAGTGATTCGACCGGATATCCGTCGAGCGCTAATCCGATATCCGACCCGTTCCTGCAAACGTGTCGTAACCGGTTTAGACTGCGCATCGTGGGAGACAGATAGATTAGTGAATGATTGCATTTGCACGTTCGCAATTTCATTTGTTGTGGTCGCTTAGCTTTTCTTTTTTCTTTCCTGTTTTATTAAATAAATAAAATAAGAATCATGTCAATCGACCGCTCCATTTCGAAATGAAAGTAGACACAAACAATCAAATAAAAAGGCAACAGACACAGTTTCGGATTTTAATAGTTATTAGTATTCCTAGATAAGTAATTTTCGTAGATAACAGACCGCGGGCAATCATGTTTTAACAAGTTTTTGTTTTATAACCCAATTTGTGCATTCCTGTATCAATCGGCTGGTTCATAGAATACTTGTTCTTACTTGTTGAGTACGATTGAGCGTCGAATGAGATAAACGAGTTTATGCATGTTTGTCTTATTCCTGTCGGTGCGTGCTGCTTATGCAATCCTATATAAACAACGTAATATTTATTTTATTTTCATTTGCGGTTTCGCGCGTAATAGATAAGCAGTACTTAAGTTCAACACTTACTTACGTATTTCTCAAAACAAAACAATGTCCGAAGTAAAAAAAAAGAGACGGCAATACGAATGTATTCAATTCTGATTCATTGAAAATCCCACAAACCCATAGACGCCTTTGTGCCTTCTATGTGTAAAAACATTTTCTAATGTAGCAATGAAGACTTCAAGACTGCAAGATCATTTGAATAAAATGCATCCAGATAAGAAAGACAAGAATGTAGCGTATTTTCAAGACCTAGAGAAGAAGCATAATGCTCAGCCAAGTGTAGCAAAACTCTTTTCGGCGGCTGCTAAGCAAGATGACGACGGACCACGAGTTACGTACATACAATATCTCTTTGTTAATTTCTCAAAAAGGCAAACCACACAACATCGGAGAAGAGTTAATTTTGCCAGCAATAAAGGAAATAATAACTACTGTGCTGTGTGAAAAATTCCTTTGAGTAATCAATTCTGTGCAAAGACGAATTGATGAAATGGCCGAAAACATTGAAGAATCATTGTGCAATCATCTGACGACTAGGCAATTCTCAATTCAGCTCGATGAGTCCACTTTACCAACTAATGAAGCATTGTGCTGTTTTACGTGAGGTTTATTAAAGATGAGAAAATATGTCAAGAACTATTGTTTGCTAGAAATTTAGAGACCGATACAAAAGGCGAAACCATATTCAATACATTGGAAAAGTTTTGTGATGACAAAGAGATTTCCTTGAAATATATTATATCAGTTCCTACGGATGGCGCTCCGGCTATGACAGGGCTATAAAGGCTTCATAGCGTACTTAAAAAATAAAATTCCAGATGTCCTTGCTGTACATTGCGTTATTCATAGACTACATTTCGTTGCTAGAAATTTAAGTGAACGACTATTTCAATTTTCAATCACTGCAATATGTCAACAAAGCAGTCAATTAAATCCGTAACAGCTCTTTGAATGATAGATTATTTCATCAGCTTAGTGTTACTAACTTAGAGGATGGGAAAAATAATAAACATAGTTTAAGGTTACTGACGAAGATTTCAACCGTTTGTTGTTTCATACTGACGCTTGTTGGGTATCAAGAGGCAATTGTCGGGCTCGATTTTACAACCTATTTGACTCTGTGATAGAGTTCTTGGAAACTAAAGATACAGAATTGCGCAACAAGCTCATTACATCAAAGAATGATATAGCTTACATGACAGACCTGTATAAATTGTTCAATGACATGAATCTCCAATTGTAAGCGATGAACTAAATTTAATTAATATAAAAAATGTCGTTGCTGCTTTCGCAGCCAAATTGCTTCTACACAAAAAGAATATGGGCAGACGTGAGTTTCACAATTTTCCGAATTTATCAGTATCCTGCTGTAACGACATGCCTACTGCCAACATTTGGAAAAACTTCCACATTGACTTCACCGAACGTTACCAGGACATTTTGAACTTGGAAATACCAGACTGGGTGTTGGATCCGTTTTCAAATGTCAACACAGCAATATCACCTCAGCTGGAAGAATAACTTATAGAATTGACAACGAACGAGGAAATAAAAATCAAGTTCCAAAATGACTACCAAGAATTTTGGCTACAAAAACCGATCCCGCAATTGTACCCTGGATTGTGGTCAAGCGTTCAACGATTCTTGATAGCATTCCCATCGTCATATTTGTGTGAACGTGGTTTTAGTGCTATGACAACGCTGCTTACTAAAAAGAGAAATCGTTTGCATGTTACCGAACGTGGTGACTTGCAGCTGTTCTTGAGTAAATTGGAACTTGATATCAACAAACTTATTAAACAGCATCAGATTCATCCTTCACATTAGTTTTTATATTAGAATCGATTGTGTTTAGTATGTTTTTTATTTTGAATAAAAGATACTCTGTCTGAATACTATAAAGTTGCGTTTCAATAATCATTCTCGGCAGGTGTAGCCCGTAAGAGTTAACTTGAGACCTGAGCACCGTTGTGTACTACCTACTGCGCTCAGGTCTCAAGTTAGCTCTTGCACAACAAGTTTAGAATGAATGTTTAATCTCCGCTAATATAGCTCACAATAATTAATTTAATTTGAAGTTGTAGTGGTTTTTAAGTAGGTAAAAAAATTGGATCGCTAAAAAATAATTTATTCTCAAAGTGGGCAGTAGATAAAATAAGTTTGGGAACCCCTGCTTTAACTATATCAAAAATCTTAGTTCTTATTATTACGTCTTTAGTTATTTTATAAATGTAGCACTAGCACTTACTAAGCCAGTTACTATTTTGTTTCGATTTGATTTTATTAATTAGTTGTTTGTGATCTAACTATCCTAATTTTTTACCAGGTTTTACCAAAAAAATATTTGTAATTCAACTTATATGTTGATACGAAAATAAAGGACGGATTATAATTTGCAGGCGCTCGTTTTAGCACCGTTTATAGAGAAAGGCTGTTCTTTGCAGCCGGTCTCGTTTATGAAAATAAACGTAACTTACTTTTACCACTTATGCAGAAACACATCTCTTCATTTTTTGCATTTGCTTAAATTTGAGTAGGTACTAAATTCACCGATAAGTTTATAGTTCTTTACACTTACAAGTAATAGATTGTTAACGATGGTGTAGTTTCTGTTAATCCTATAACTATCCTATTTAACTAATAAATCAATTTATTTGACGTACTTGTGTATTTTTCTTAGTATTAAACATCCGACATCCGGCCAGATAGTAAAATTGGCAGGATAAGCCGGATACCGGATATCCGTTTCATCTCTTAAAATAAATATCTCGGGTCAAAGTACGAAAATTAGTCGATTCGACAGAAACTCGCTTGGAAAGGATCCTTTCCGATGCGAGAACAACTATGTAGTCTCTTTGTAGGCTCACTTACGATCCATTAGAGAAGCGAGTTTCACGCAGAAGAGCACGAGTACGCTGGACGTAATCCGCGCCATGTCCTCGGTGGTGATAGTGCCAACGGTGTACTCTTCGTCGCCAGTGGCAAACGACTGATTCCCTACGCACAAAGCGGCCCCGTGACTCGGCTGACCTTTGATGATAACGGCCGTCCGCGCCGCACGAGGCTTGCAAACAACAATTAAGTCTCGAACGGCTCCTTTCAAAGTTCATTGTCGGAGGATGCTTAGTGAATAAAAACCCAAACATTACCCTACAATCAACAAAATTGACCAAGATGACGACAGTCGAGAGGAAAATTAGTGTGACCTCCTTACATCGTCGTCCCACCTTTTTATTGCCTTTCTCCGGTTCCTGGCCACTCGTATTTAAATTTTGAATTTCCATAGTTCTTTTGCCTCGCATTCTGATTTTGTTTCGTTCTATCATCGCTCCTTGGTCACTCCCTGCTCGATCGCGGCAGCGCACACGACTTCACTTCTTATTTTTTGAGCCGTTTAACATTTTTAAAGATCATAAATATTGTTAAAACCGGAATAAATATTTATAAAACTGGAATTATTACCACTTCTTATAAACCCTCTCGAACTCTGAACGTCAAACTCACTAAGCGAGATCTGCGGTTGACTGAACATCCCAAGCGGCTACATTATAATCGACAGGACGTGCTTAAGCGGTGCCAGTCCACCAACAGCATCAGCACGCTCACAGTAGTATAAAATAAAAACACTCAATACGATAAGTAGTTTAATATGAACATAATATACAATGCCGTTGTTTATTTATAAAAGCAGGTAAAAACTAAGACATTACACCATAAGATAAAATTGTAATTTATTCTTCAACATATATACCTATATATAGTTAATAAAGTTGTTATTGAGTACAGTAAATCGTTTAAGAAAACCTAGATAGGAGCCAGCCTGCTCAAATGTGCAGGAGAAACTCACATTTTGCAAATTCAGTGTATATAGGGTAACAAAACTAACAAATCGTGATCTCACACAAATAGCTTAACGCACCTGAACGTGGTTGGACAATATGAGGTAAATAATAAGTATAAACATATGTTCAGTCATTTCATTGTGTATTAAAAAATGCATTAAAATGTATGAAGTGCAGTGACTAAGCTGTACTGACGGTTGCACGGATTATCGCTTTAATAGATATCTTTGAGTGGCTTAGTCCAGCGTGCTCATAATCGAGTTTACAAAATTTTACAACTCGGGTAATAAGTCGTGAATTAGTCTGTTCTAGTCGCAAAAAGGCCCTATTACTCGGACCGCCCTCTTCAAGTCACAAGGCTTTTACTGTCCACCTTTTGAGACAGCACCACTTTTCAGTTTCAAGTACCACAAGAGCTAGTTCAATTGACTGCATGCACAAAATCTCGTGAATTAGTTTTTTTTAATAAAAACGTAAGTGGGCAATTGACTTCAATCTCACCTGATGGAAAGTGACGATGAGGTCTACGATGGATCACGCACACTTAAATAATACCTATTCATTCTCGCCTTGGACGATACGAAAGGAGACGCGTCGATTAGTTGTGTACGATTATTGATCAGACTTGATTGAGTAACGAATAATAGTTCTGATTTCCGTCCATTTCAGCTCAATTGACAAGGGTCGGGGTCTTGTTGCAAAAACTGCCATGGTTTGTACAATGCTGCTTAGAGAAGCAGGTTATATCCAGCCAACCATTTAAGAATAATTAATTTACATTTTTCCTATATATCTATGGTTGCAAAATGTTGTTTTCGTTTAGTGTGGCAAGGCCAGTCATTAGGGAATATATCTATTATAAATAAACATTTAGAATCGTAGAAAAACTTGAACATGTCGCATTATTATGTTAAAATGGCGAACAAATGAATGGAAATGCATTTTATTTAAAATTGGAACAAAAAATACTAAAAGTGACGGATATTTTTTCGAAATAATTTGAATTTGCATAAGTCGTGCACATGAGCAACCTCAGAAAAAACAAGTGGGAATGGAGCCCCTCCTTCGCCACAAATTCTTTATTCCGTATATTTTTTCTATGTGATAGTAGCTAACAGTAAACCACCCTTGTAATGTCAAACAGTACACTAAATTTCCTTTTGACCTCACTAGTCAAATTTTAAAAACTCGTATTATGGTCACACCGGAACAACACGCGATATGTGTTAGTGACTTGGTTGCAAATATATAAACACTTGCTCAAGCGGCGGGAACGATATTGAAGCACAGAGCGCCGACGACGTATGTATACCTCATTGTCTCCATTGCGCAGTAATTACCTAGTACGGCGGAGAGCGACGATAGTCGCGGCGCTCTGCGCGCTGGTCGCGCGATACAAACACAGCGAAGTCATGCGGTTAGTGCAACTAAATATGAGACAAATCCATTTACGGCCTCTACAAACTACGTAATACGTAAAAAATCAATTCCCGCTATATAACTCATTACAAAATACACAGACTGAATAACAATAACACGGTTCAGTTTCCAATCAAAGCTGAGACTACGCCTAAAGGAAGCCGTGGGCCGATCGCCGAAGCACTTCGCATTACTCCGCCGGTCGTAAAACGAAGTTCTATAAGCATTTACATCACTTAAGCTAAAATTATTTAATCTCCAAAGCATTTTATGATCCTTACTACAAAATATATCTCCATGCGATGTTTAGGTGACAAAATAAGGCTATGTTCGTAAATAATGTGCAACATAACTACGAACAGAAAAGTTATGACTCGATAAATTAATTAATTTACTGTTGGGTTACGATTGCAACAAATCAATTTGTATCCGAGGCGTCGAAAGCGAGAAAAAATACTATCTACACGGGGGTCCACATTGCTTTTTTGCTAAATCATTTTCATTTTCTTGTTACAGAAAAAAAAATACATTTTTCGTGGTGCCTGTGCAGTATTATAATTACAAATGGAAATAAATTTAATAGCCACGTATACATTCCAGTTGTTGCTCCGTTAGTCTATTCTATTAACAAAATGTTTCGTCGATATAAAAATCACAAATGAATAAACAACTTTTTGAACGGAGCTGCAACCGCGCCTTACATCTTTACGCAACAAACAGTACACAAGTTCCAACAAAATTGACACCAAGAATTTAATCAGGATTAATTTAAGTTTGAGATATTTCTTATCCTATTTTAGCGTAATCCTTAGACTATGAGGTCGTGTGGGCTGTGCCTTTTTTATTACAAACGTTTTGCACCCCAATTATTATGCGACTAGACGATTCGAATATATATTTAATATAATAGGGACACAGCTTTAGGGTTGGGCCCCACTTGGGCGCGCTTCGTAGCACCTATTCGTAGCGTCGTACCAGTCAAAGTCTTTGTCATACGGTATACCACAACATAGCCACAGTATAACAAACAAACAGTAGGTATAGTTACTCCATACATACTTTCAATGGCCGTTAGCAAAATTAATACGCATATAATAAATAATAATAATAACAATAACAAATTTATTGATTTCTCATCACAATACAAAAAGTGCTATATGAACTATTCTACAGATATTGTGTGGAGACTGATACCTAAACTAAACTCAAGCCCTGTATTTCAGGACGCCAGGTCTCCATACCCCTTGGGAATAATAATATTTTAAAGTACTTTCGCAAGACGATAACAGCGAGATAAACAAATAATAACTTTAATTAATTTTACAAGAAAAAATACTGTTAAACTTAAGTGTTGGTATAGTATATACTACTACAAATATTAATAAAGGCATTTAATAAACTATTTGGCCTCAGCCCTGACAGCTATTTTATTATATTTTTAAAATGCACGGATTCTTCATTGAAACCATTTTTTTGTGGTAGAATGTCATAAAATTTAATGCTCTGCTCATCTTTTGACTACTGTTATATTTATACTGTGGCGCGTAACGCCATAGCGTTACTGTTTTAGCAACGCTAACTCGCTACGGTGTATGTGATCGCTTGCGTACCTAATAGCATCGATCGACGGCGCTGAGCCGTACGACCACAGCAACGTGTGCTGCCAATGCTGCGGAGCATTATAAATACGTTTAGTACGGGAACGATGCAGACGCGTGCGAACTAGTGGGGTCCAACTCTCAGTTTTACATAAAAGTCGAGATTTGAAAGCCAACGAGAGTCGAGTTTAAAGTTGTCTCATTGTTTGTACATTCCTCCACAGCCAAGTATTATACTAGCTATGTACATATACCTACAGAGATGCCTTTAATTGGCAATAGCTTTTTACCCGAGTTTGATGGGGTTTGTACGTGAAAAAAGGACTCGTCAGTGATTGGACCTTTGTCACTAGTTTAAACAGACAAGAGATTCTCGCCATCAACGAAACAAATAACTGCTGATGTCAATTTGTGTATTCACTAAGGGTAGTTTTGCCAAGCTAATACAAAATAGACACTTCGATGCGCGTCTACAGTCGTCATTAGCGACGCGCTCTTGGCTTTGACACTCGGTATAACTTGCCCAACCGTAACATTGAAATACCCAGAAAACGGTCCCGTACACCCCGCAAACATACCATACTACTTACACCAAATTACAAGTATCTAACATGTTCATTGACGACAGCTTCCCTGACCGCGAAACAAGAGAGATGGTGACGAAGCGACAAACGGCAGCGTTAAGCCGGTTATAGACCCAGAACGGGCCATCGTCCAGGAATAAGCTCGTTTGCTGTGTGGACCTGCAGGCGGCGGGGGCGGGGGCGGGGGCGGTCTACGTGGAGCAGCAGGCGCGGGTGGGCGGCGCGCGCGACGGGCGGCGCTCCACGGCGATGCGCGAGTGGTCGGCGTCGGCCTCGCGGCCCGCCGTCTTGTCCAGGATGGCCTCGGCCAGCTCGTTGAAGGCGCGGTCGATGTTGATGTTGGCCTTGGCCGATGTCTCCATGAACCGGATGCCGTGCTCGCGCGCTATCTGCGCACAACAACCGAACACCGGCTTAAGTATTCCAATCAAACTTTTGCTAAAGTGTACATACATGTTATAATATTGTAGGTAACTTTGCTACATGTTTGCACAATGCTGTCGGTCTTGGCTCTGAACTGTAATAAGTGGTGGTTACACAGATCTGAAGGGCACTGCCACTGCGCCCGTCACCCTGAGACACAAGTTGACAAGTCCCATATACTTGTAATTTCACCAGCGCCCTTACCCTTCAAAATCAGAACACAGTAATGCTGACATTAAATGAATACGAATATGAAAGTCAGGTCAAGGTGAATCTCATTACAAATGGGGAAATTGATGGTATCATTGGAACACAATTATAATACCTGTGAGAGTTTATAAGATCTGACAGATGGGAACAATCCTCCTGCACCTGCTTTATTCTGTGGTATGTATTTGTACTATTTATAATATATATTAATTTGCTACAGCAAGTGTTATACGGCATTCTGTAGGGGTGGTCATTTTTACAATAATGGTGTAGGCGACAGATCTTTTTTATACACATAGATATCTTTTACTTCTTTTTTTATTTAATTTTTATACTTGGAATTAGTTTTGTTTTTTTTGTATTTTGAATTACATTTTTGTTTCATTGCTTTTTGGTTCGCGGTGTGCTCTGTGTTTTGAAATTATTATAAAATTTTATAAAAAAAGAAGTAAAAAATATTTATATGTATAAAAAAGATCTGTCGCCAACAAATGGATAATGCATTAAGTACACTGACCTACCAACGAATAACAAGTGTCCGCACCTATAGGGCGTTAAAATCACATACAGGGCGTCAATCGCGCAACAGTCTTCGTTTGTTCGACGTTCGCGGTTGTCAATCTTGCAGTACTATATAAAAATAACTTGTAAAAATTGCTGCAGTAAAGTGTAAAAACAGGATTTTGTGTAAAAACAGGACATATTATCACTAAACAAATATATTGTGTTATCATAGTTATCATTTAAGTGTTATTTTGTACACTTGTATAGTATTTAATTTATATATAAATGAATCGTAAATATAAATACAAAAGCAAACATAATAATCAAATAGCTAACTGTCCTTTTTCTACACACTGCATGCGCAAAATGTGGAAAGAGATCCATTACGTCAATTTCAAGAACCATATAAACTTCTTGGCCATTTTCAAACTTGTTCAAACCACAAGTAATTGAAATATTTAGAAGAAAGAAACTATAGAGTCGCTCTGATTTTAATCTTATTTTTAAAATGATTTTTTATTAAACATTAGCAATAACTAACAAAATATTGTTGTACTCGTTTTACGGTTTGTTATTACCTATCAAAAGTCAGATGAGAGAATGTATTTACATTTGCTCTAAACAACGTTAGCTTGAATTTTCATAATGTCAAATGTATTTAGGAATATTTATTTATATTTATTTTTTTAGGAATAGTACAAAATAAAAGCTAATATTGTATCGAGTTCTTAGGTTTTCGCAATTGTTACACATAGGAAATGAAACTATTTTTCCGGATTTAAATCCAAGCTAATATTGTGTTTGTGAAAAGCATCAAAATTACTTGAAAGCGTAACGGATTTATTATAAATCGGTTTTTGGAATTACGGATATTTGAGTTTACGTTTAATTGGAATATCGGTACATTTCTTAAAGTACACACTTATTTCAACATTTGTATGTATGTATGTCCAACTCTTTATTATTTCTTTAAGTCAATTTGTACAAAATTCGACATAATAATGTATAAAAATGAATTAATACTCACAATAAAGGTGCTCCATTACACTCGTGTTCAAGTAATTTTCAGTCAAAGCTAAATATGGTGCATTTTGTTAAGTTTCTAGAAACTGAATATGGTGTTTTTGGGCCCTTAAATTGTTGCAAGCAAAATTAGGCAGTACTGCATTGACGTTACAATTTACATGAAATGTTTTAGTTATTTTTATATTTCGTTATGTGTCACTTATGTTTGTATCGGTTAACTACGGACATATTTTTCGTAGTTTTTGTATTAGACCCGACGTCCATTTTTTGGTAGCTCAATGATTAAGTAGCAGTAGAACTCCTTCCTAATACCATAATAAAACCTAAGAACTCGATAAGTAGAACTACTTGTTAAAGGTTTGGTCTAGAGAATTACTACCACCTGGGTTCGTCCAGAGAACCTTACCTTTTTCTGCCGTCAAGCAGTGATGTGTGATTGATGTGAGTGATCATTACTGTGTTTAGGTTTTGAAGGGCAAGGGTGCTGGTGAAATTACAGGCATATGGGACTTGTCAACTCATGTCTCAGGGTGACAGGCACAGTGCCAGTGTCCCTCATATATTTGCGATTTTAGCTCTGAGTCAACTGCTATGTCACTTATATCCTGGTGCACGACTTGTTTGTCCTGTCACTTCTTATACGCAATATGTAACTCATTAATGACCAACAATCTAAACTGTTGTTGTTACCCTGTTATTATGCTGTTCCGTCATGTGAACTAGCAAGAATGCAATAGCAATAGCTGTGAGAAATGGCACTGCATGAATTCTTCCAAGATACTACGATTTGCAAATTTAACAATTGTAGTCTTTCAGTGCACAACATAAAGTTCTTTGTTATAATTACTAATACAAAGATCAGAAAAAACACTCAGAAAAAATTCCTTCGATCCGGTCGGATACGAACCGACGTCTTCTTGCATACCGTGTCAGACGCTATACCTACTAAGCCACGGAACGAGCCAACGGACCTCACTTGCGTCGTGGTCTTTCAACGACTTTTTAGTCGTAGCGCCATCTATGAGAAATCTATGACAGATTTATCACCCAGTTAGTACCTTTACAGCTACCAGTCCTGGCGATTAAAAGAAGAAGAAAATTCCTTTTAAAAAGGAATTTTTTCTGAGTGATTTTTCTGAGTGTTCGATCTTTGTATTAATAATTATAACAAATTAGTGGAGTAATTTCACAAAAAAAAAAAAATTGAATATCAATTCAATAAAAATTTAATTAATAAAGTTCTTTTCTCTAATTTTTATAAGTCACATATTTGAAACTACAATTATTGTGCGGTATGTTATTGGAATATTGTTGACTTTAATATTTGACATTGCCAGGCAGTTAATAACGATCAATGTAAATACAACTGGTGCCTAAAACAGCCATTTTGTTTTGGTTTGTTGGTTCTTATTCTTTTGTCATTGGTTCTTGTCAACAATATTACTACAGTAACAGATTTGTTTTCATTGCGTTAGTGCCATTATCCGCAATTGAACCATAAATAACAGGTTACACAATCAGTGTTGCCAGGGCCCTTGAGTAGAAAATTACATTTCATGAATTAATTGCTTCAGGTTTGTAAAGTCATGTTAATAAAAATGAAAGTAAATTAAGTTGCTACTCCACAAACCCAGTGGAGGTTAAATCGTGCAAACTAGCTACACTTGTTGATGAATACTTCTTCATGCATGATTTTCCCACCCTTCCTAAACAGTCTTCTTTACTTTACACCTAGTTACATACATGCCAGCACAACATAAACCAAATATAAGTAACTGCTTCCATAATATGTAGTAAACTTTCAGTATGAATGATTTCAATCAAAGTTCCTCTTGACTGAATCACATGGCTACAAACAGACGCGTATTCATCGCGTTAACGCCGCGTGCTAATTGATGCCTCATTTTGCTTATTACGACATCGGGGCACACCTCAATTCTAAGCTTTCATATGATATTTGTTGTTTCCAGTGCCATTTCTGCATATTTGCAAGTGAAACTAGGAAATTTTGTATTTTGTATCAACCTGGGAACTGAAAACCTATTTAAGCATACTATGGCTTGAAACAGTGTATATGACCAATTATACTATATAAACAATCTCTATCTTATAATGTTGGGCCAGTATATATAGTACACAAACTTTTTCTCTTCCATGCGGGCATGCATGATAGTGAAGTAATCATAATTTATTGTTTGTTGTTGTTGTAACACATATAAGACCCCTTTATCAACACTTGTCATTTTCTTTCAATAATTGACTCAATACATCAACCCAACATTCCAAGAATAAATTTAAAAAAAACATTGTCATCTAAATAAAGTAGATGTTGAACATTTTGTTATACCATTATTAACATTTTCTTTGAATTTTATTGTTGAATTTTGTGACGTGAATGACGCACACATGCAGTGATAATGGTGTTTTTCACCTTCGGCTATTTCCACCGAGCCGAATGCGCATTCCTGAGCTTTCGGTTGTCAAGTAAATGGTGTTACTTATTTATTTATTCAAAAGTAACAGCAATTACATTTACTATAAATTCTTAATAATATTTTAAATAATGTAATCGCTACAGTTTCAAAGAATTGGAAGGTAAAACTTTTGTAAATTATGATGATGCCCTGTACTAAGACAAAAGAAACATGAAGTACTGACCGCTTCTCCTCTCTCCTTACTGACAACTCTCTTCTCTTCCATGTCACACTTGTTGCCCAGGATCATCTTCTCCACATCCTCATTGGCATGCTGAAAGTATCACATTCAAAGAGATACATTAAGTGTGGTCTAAAATTAGTGACAGATGTACTGCGCATGCTGCATCATCCCTTACCTCATCTATATTTCTTAGCCACTTGACAATGTCATCAAATGTTTTTTCATTTGTTATGTCATACACGAGCATGATGCCCATCGCGCCTCGGTAGTAAGATGTGGTGATGGTGTGGAAGCGCTCTTGCCCTGCTGTGTCCCAGATTTGCAGCTTGATCTTCTTGCCTCGCAGCTCCACTGTTTTGATTTTGAAATCAATGCCTATCGACAATGTCAGCGCCGTTAGTGGATCTAGTTTTAAGTTATAGAGATAATGCAACATCCCCAATAAGCTTATATTAAGATTGAACATTGATTATAATTGTCGTATCACGTACAAAAGATTCAGAGACTTGTGAAATTCATTAAGTATCAAACGGAAGCAAAGAAATATTGTTTTGCATTTTTACTATTCTCAGGAACAAGTAAAATGTAAAAGATATTCCTTACCGATAGTAGATATAAATGTTGTTGTAAAGTGGTTATCTGAGAATCTGAACAGTATGCATGTCTTCCCTACACCGGAATCGCCGATTAGCAGTAATTTGAACAGCAAGTCGTATGTTTTCTTGGCCATTTTAGAGGTATAAAAAGCAAAAAGATAGAAATAAAACTAAAATCATCCGATCCGAAACGTGACAGCGAAGAATGGTGTTGCTATAGGCAAAAAAATTATGATGTCATTGAACTTGAACTTTGCATTCCGATAAATATAAATTACAAATAGCGGAAAAACAGATATTTTTTTGAAAAATTGGCAAAATTGGAAAAATATAAAACCCAAGACTAGTGTTGTGTAGTACGTATAGAAATATCTTTTCAATAATTATTAATACAAAGATCGGACACTTACAAAAAATTCCTTCGATGCGACTGGATACGAACCAATGTCTTCCAGTAAACCGTGACAAACGCTATGCCAACTAAGTCATGGAACATATTTGCAGACGTTACGAATTTTTCCGAAATTTCGAAAGGAATTTTTTGTAAGTGTTCGATTTTTGTATTAATAAATTATAGATCTGTTATCTTAGTCTTGCCGGTCTACCTGGTGGCGGCCTACACACTGAGCGTCGTCCGGTGCGCGGTCGCCATTGAAGAACCCTTCTGCCTCAACGGCCATCGACTCTCGTAGCTATGTGCCCTGCGCCCCGCCCCGGCCACTGCCACTTCAACACACACACACCACACACAGCATCCAAAAATAAAATGAAATTACGAAGACTTGGCTGTATGGTATCAAACCTTTACCTTTTCCTTTTTTACGGAAAGAATGGTAAAAAAAGGGTAAAAACAAAAACAACAATATTATTGGCTAGCTGAAGCCAATGATGGAAAAAATAAAGGCTAAAGCTGATTTTTTAGCGCACTTACTGTTTTTATTTTTTGTTGTTTAGGTATATCTTTTACAGATAAAATTTTTAATTAAAAAACGAAGTTAAAAAATGTTACTTTTGTTGCAAAGTAATTTTTGACTTCGACTCAATTAAGGGCTCTGGCTTTCAGTATGTATCAAAGTACTCTTTGGGTTCTGGTAACACTGGTTACAATGGCTGCTTCGTTGCGCGCGTCGTTTTCTTTCTTTTCTACCTAAAATTGTGATTCGTACTTGAGTGCTAGGTTGTTAATCGATATCGATTCACTGCGGAAAAATTTTCACAAATCAGTGGCTTTTCAAATAATGTGAAACTTAAAAACATTTTTCGTTTTCTTCTCGGTGTTTGTGTCTTAACGTTAGGATGCATCGGCGGGGCGGGAAACGCATACGGATGGATGATCCTCCTCCGGAGTATGTGAACCCGATGACTCCGGCGACTCCGATGACCGACTATGGCGGACAGTCTGTGCACGAGCCCGAGACGCCTAATCCCAACTACTCTGGATTTAACGTAGGCGCTGTGGCCAACTCAACTGCTGTTGAAGCACCTAGAGAGGACGCTGAGGACCCCGAAGAGGAGGAAGCGAGATCGCCATCGCCAACGCCGACGAAGCGTATAACTCGTAGCCGTGGTCGCGGCGGCGATGGAGGCTACGTTGGGCGCCTAGCGGAATCGCCACCGCCACCGCCGTTGCGGCGTCGCGGCCGCGGCGGCAGAGGCCGTGGCCGGGGTCGGGGCGCGGCGCCGCCGCCCGCTTACTCGCCACCGCCTGTGCTGCTGCCAGGAGATGATGAGAACAGTCTCTATAACATTCTCAGATTCAATAAAACTGCTATAAATGTAAGTAGGACGCAATAATTAATCTGGGAATATTAATGTAAGTTTCTGGTCATAACTGCATTATTCTGTGTGATGTACAGCAAGTTGTGGACATGTGGATCGAACAGTACAAGAGCAACCGTGAGGGTGCACTGGTACAATTGATGCAGTTCTTTATTAATGCATCTGGCTGCCGTGGGAAGGTTACGCTTGATATGGCCCAGATGGACCACACACTAATCATCAAGAAGATGACTCAAGAATTTGATGAGGTATATTTTGATGTTTGTACATTTATTCTTGTCCTCTATAATATGATGTATGGTAATAATATTGCAATATCAGTTATTCACATTCAATGATTTTTATCAAATAATAATATGTTTGGTAAAAACAATGTAATATGTATTGTATAGTGATCAAGAGATTATGAATTAATTATAATTTTGGCTCTAAATAATTACATTTTTATAACACACAAGCTATGCAAATACAATGATAGAAAGATAAAGCACCATGCAGGTACCAACTCTAAGCTTGAAAATGACTGAAAATGCTTACAATATTAACTGTAACCCTGTAAGCAGTAGTGATGCGCGACTTTGAATGTTACTAATACTAATCATTTGAATGGGCAAATCATTCGCCTAAGTCGAATCCAAGCACAATCATTTGACTCGAGTGGAATGAGTAAGTACCAAATGCCCCTGCCATTTGGTCAGGTGCATGAGTCGTATGATTATTATGTGGAAACACCTCATTCATCATGTCCATACCACAAAATGTCCCAGTCTATTAGTAGGTTACTAATTTGATTTTCGAATGCCAGGATTGGCGATTACTAATGAGTTGAATGTCGAAATCATTCACAATCGCGCATCGCTAGTATGCAGTGTTGCCAGACTTTTGTGTAGTTAATTCGCCATAAATCAAGAAAAACAATTTTACAATTCTGCTTGCTGCTGGACATTGGGGAATTGGGGAAGTAAGAGAGTTCATATTCCCCAATGTCCAGAAGCAATTCTCACACGTCGAAATACTCCAACCCCCAAATGAGTTCATTCCCCACATTAAGAAGCCTAAAATCACCTTTTCCTATTTGAAATCGAGTTGTCGACCTCTTAATGTAGCCTAAATGGCGAAAAATCGCCTAATCTGGCAACAGTGCCTGTAGGTTTAACTTCAACTTCTATCCACTGTAATATTTTGGAAATGTGTATTATTATGTAGGAAAATTATATTTAATCCATAATATGTTTTAACTTTTTGCACAGGAAAGTGGAGAGTACCCCTTAATAATGACAGGGCAGACTTGGAAGAAGTTTAGGTCAAATTTCTGTGAGTTCATCCAGACACTGGTGAAAATGTGCCAGTATTCCATCATCTATGACCAATACCTCATGGATAATATAATTTCGCTACTTACTGGCCTCTCTGACTCTCAAGTGCGTGCTTTTAGGCACACGGCAACACTGGCCGGTGAGTTCTGATGATAACTATAATTAGGAATCTGTTCTGTAGTTATGATTTTCAAGTTAATCTAATCTCCATTAAAAGCAAGTACTTTTACTAAACTTTCGCCTGCTTGGTACTTAAATGCCTCCACTTCGCCCGAAGTGTAGGATTGCTACATCACTTCATTGTATCTACTTGATTTTTTAAATCTATTTTAAAAAGGGCCTGAAATGTTCGGGCATTTATGTCGGTCTCGTAATGTATGTATATAATTAATTACCCATCCTGCTTTATCTGCGACTGCTACCATGAGAGGTAGGTGTTAGACAGACGGATACAAACATTATAGTTAGAAACGAAGTGAAAATCAAATAATCATTTATTCCATGGATAAAATTTTTAAACATTCTTTTTTATGCTTAAAACATGGACCTACCAATGAATGGACGGCAGGTCTAATACAAAAACCATGAAAAAAAGTCCGAAGTTAACCTATACAAACATAGTGACATGTAACAAAATATAATAAATACATACTTAAAATATACATAAAATAAATACATTTAATTTAAATTGTAACATCATTGCAGTACTAGCCTAATTTTGCTTGCAACAATTTAAGGGCCCAAAACCACCATATTCAGATTCTAATGGAAACTTAACTAAAATGCACCACTAACTAACATGCATATTTAGCTTCGACTGAAAATTATTTGAACACAAGAGTAATGCAGCAGCCTTTATTGTAAATATTAATAAATTTTTATATATATTATTATGTCGAAAATTTGTACAAATTCACTTAAAGAAATAATAAAGAGTTGGGCAGATACTTACAAACAAATATTACAAATGGGAATATAAGCGTATACTATAAGAAATGTGCCAATATTCCAACTAAATGTAAACTCAATTATCCGTAATTCTGAAAACCGATTTATAATAAAACTGTTATGCTTTCAAGTAATTTTGATTATTTTCACAAAGACAAAATTAGTTTTGTAACATTCCTAAAAAAAGTATATTTGACGTTATGAAAATTCGAGTTAATGTTATTTCAGGCAAATGTATTTTGCTGACTTCTGATAGGTAATCCCAAGCCGTAAAACGAGTACAACAATATTTTGTTAGTTATTGCTAACATTTGATAAAAAATCATTTATAGTTTCTTTGTCCTAAATATGTCAATCGCTTGTGCTTCGAACTATTGAAAATGACCTAGAAGTTTATTTAAGCTTCTTAAAATTGACGTAATGGGTCTCTTTCCATCTTTTGCACATGCAATGTGTAGAAAAAGGACAGTTAGCTATTTAAAATTTTGTTTGCTTTTGTAATTTATATTTACAATTCATTCAGGGTGTCCCAAAACTCAACGATAACCTGGGAACAGGATGTTGCCTAATTTGTAACAACCCAGAAAAAAATATTTATAAAATTGAAGTAATTTTTTTTGTAATATAAGCATTTTAACGAAAAAGTTAAAAATTTTCGACCTGTACACCATTTTTAAGTACTACAATTACAAATTTGCTAATTTTGCTGTTCTAGTTTTTGTAACAGTAACCCAAATAGCCCAGCTAATGAACACAATGTCAAAGAAAGCCCGAATTGCTAAAGTTGCAGCATAAAAAATAATGTATTTAATTTTTTTCTTGAATTTTTTAGCAGATTTTTTCAAGGTAAATCTGACACCCCATACTGTTAAAAAAATGTACCTAGTTTACCATGGCAACTTCTTACAAAAGTTGCCACAACTAATCAAGGTTCTAAAATGGTGTAAAACTTTTACCTCATGCTTCTTAAAAAAAAATAAATCTTGGTTTTTTAAAAAAAAGGCGAATTTAAAAATGTTACCATTCCTAAGTGAAAGGAGACTTTAGGTGCCATATCCATGTAGTCGGAGTTAGACTGACTGGTAAAAATAGTAAGTATGATTGAGTGAGGCAAATGGTCTCAAAATTCCACATTTCTAGACAGATATAGGAATTTAAATAAAATTAATGAATAAATTATTCTAATTTTATTACAGACTACAGCAAGTGCTCAAACTGTTTTCGTTCTGTGGTAATCGGTCTGCAGAGAAATTGGTCTACCTAGTTGCTCATTTTACAATTAAAAGTAGCCAATTGGCCCCTATGGTCTGATTTTAAGCAATTTATTATTGATTTAGATACTGCATCTGTTGCAAAAAATGTTATCAATACAAGTAGAAGAGGAGGTAGATATGCGAGTTGGTTTGCGAAAAATTTAACCTTGTAGATCCAGTTGCATTTGTAGGTATAACTTTAGATGCTAAATTGCGAAGGAGTTCACATATAAATAAGTTGTTAAAACAGGTTGTCTGCAGTGTACGCCATAAAAAAAACGAAAACTTTCAGATGTCGAAACGGCTGTATATGTATATGTTATATATTGGTTTACTTCAGCTACTTTCACAGTTTATTGACGTAATTTGCTTATATGTGAAATAAAGAATTATGCTTTGACTTTAAATGTTGTCTATAGGATCGTAAAAGAATTTTGGATTTTAACATCAATGCAATTTAGGTGCTTTTTATTTGTCACAATGGCACAAAATGATAAAATATTTAGAAAATTAGTTAATGCTTAATTTAGTGAAAATAACACTGAAATGCCTTCACTGGATACATTATTATTATTATTACTACTATTTTAACAGCACAAAGCAGAACAAACCATAATTCACTCAAAATATAAAACATATGCAGTGAAGTTCACACAGCTTAAGAAAGCCTTAATGCACAACAAAGGTTGGTTATGATAGACATTCATCATGACAATGACTACAAGGGAAAGCCCACTTCACAGTCACATGTAGGTTGTTCTTCCGTCCGTAAGATGTCTTTGTGGCAGTAAGAGTATTTTAGTAAACTATTTAATGCGTGGTGCGGTGGTGGTGCGCAGTTATGAAGCTGATGACGGCGCTGGTGGACGTGGCGCTGCTGACGAGCGTGAACTGCGACAACTGCCTGCGCCAGTACGAGGCCGAGCGGCTCAAGGCGCGCGACAAGCGCGCCTCCGAGCGCCTCGAGGTGCTCGTGGCCAAGCGCCAGGAGCTCGAGGAGAACATGGAGGAGATCAAGAACATGCTGTCTTACATGTTCAAGTCGGTCTTCGTGCACAGATACAGGTGCTTCCGCTGTTGTCACTCGTTTTTGTTTTTAAAAAGCCTCCTCTCTCCCAATAGGCTGATCAGCGCGTAGCAATTTCTTTTAAGCAACTTCGAGATACAAAATCGGGAGATGCAGAGGGGGTATTTTGTCTTTCATTAGAAGTATTTTAAATAATGTGCTCCACATTAAATACTAGTAATGTGGAAAATGCACATGAAAGTGTAAATATATTGTAATAAATATTAGTAACTTGTATCCTATCCTGGGAAATATTGAAATAATAACATTGTAATGAGGAAATAAATGAAGGGATAGTGGAGAAAAGATGTTGCTGAATAAGTGGTTCTTGACAGTTTATTTTAAAGGAGGAAGGAATCAAGGGAAGGGTATCGTCGAATAGGTTCAGAGAGGGGAACTCCACAGCTTAACGCAGACATGAGTAAACGTAGGAGAATGGGTGTTTACATTATGAGAGTATCAGAAGAGCCACGACGATGCCAGTGTAGGAGAATGAAGTACAACACGTTCTTTAGGACAAGGAATAATATGGAGTAAAGGAAGGGAAGGACGTGACGACTGTGCCAATGGGTCAAAAATCTGCTTTTAAAAGGTTGATGTTCAGTCGGTCTCGCGTCGTAAGTACCGGCGTCGGCGTCCTGCGCAACGAGTAATCGGTTGGCCTGTGTCCGCAGGGACACCTTGCCGGACATTCGCGCGATCACGATGGCCGAGATCGGCATCTGGATGGAGAAGTTCCCCGCGCACTTCCTCGACGACCTCTACCTGAAGTACATCGGGTGGACGCTGCACGACAAGGTGAGGGCGGCCCGCAGCCCGTTCGGGGGGCGAGGGCCGCGGGGCCGGCGCGCTGACGGCTCGCGTCCCGCAGGTGGGCGAGGTGCGGCTGCGCTGCCTGCAGGCGCTGCAGCCGCTGTACGAGTGCGACGAGCTGAAGGGCAAGCTGGAGCTGTTCACGTCCAAGTTCAAGGACCGCATCGTGGCCATGACGCTGGACAAGGAGACCGACGTGGCCGTGCACGCCGTGAAGCTGGTGATCGCCATCCTCAAGATGCACCCCGACGTGCTGACGGACAAGGACTGCGAGAACGTGTACGAGCTGGTGTACTCGTCGTGGCGCGGCGTGGCGGCGGCGGCGGGCGAGTTCCTGAACGTGCGCCTGTTCCGGCCCGACGCCGCCGCGCCCGCGCCGCGCAGCCGCCGCGGCAAGGCGCGCCTGCCGGCCACGGCACTGGTGCGCGACCTGGTGCAGTTCTTCATCGAGTCCGAGCTGCACGAGCACGGCGCCTACCTGGTGGACTCGCTGGTGGAGTCCAACCCCATGATGAAGGACTGGGAGTGCATGACGGACCTGCTGCTGGAGGAGGCGGGCCCGGGCGAGGAGGCGCTGGACAACCGCCAGGAGTCCTCGCTCATCGAGCTCATGGTGTGCTGCGTCAAGCAGGCCAGCACCGGCGAGCCGCCCGTGGGCCGCGGCCCGGCGCGCCGCCACCACGCGCCGCTGTCCAAGGACCAGGCCAAGGTGAGCGTTCGCCACTCGCCGGAAGGCCACCCCGCTCGGGACGACGGAGTTCGCGCTTGCGGTAGGTTGCCTATTTTCACACTCGGGCCGGTTTTCTTGCAGCAAGTGAGCGACGACCGCGCGAAGATGACGGCGCACTTCATGGTGACGCTGCCGGCGCTGCTGGACCGCTTCGGCGCCGACCCCGAGAAGCTCACCAACCTCGTGACCATCCCGCAGTACTTCGACCTGGAGCTGTACACCACGCAGCGGCAGGAGGGGGTGCGTGCCCGCGCGGCGCCCGGCCGTCGGCGGGCCCTTCCGCGAGGCTCACGGCCGCCCGGCACTCGTTGCAGAACCTGACGCTGCTGCTGAACAAGCTGCGCGACATCGTGTCCTCGCAGACGGAGGCCGAGGTCGTGGAGGCCTGCGGCCGCACCCTGGAGGTGCTGTGCTCGGCGCAGCACGCCGTGTACACGCGGTGCAACGTGGCGCGGGCCACCATCACCGACATGTGCGTCAACCGCTACAAGGAGGCCATCGACGAGTTCCGCAGCCTCATCGAGGGGGTGAGTCGCCGCGGCGCGGGCGACGGGCGCGCGGGCCGCGGCGGGCGCTGACTGCTGTGTGGCTGGTCTTGTGCCAGGGCGAGACGCCGGACGCGGACGAGGTGTTCAACGTGGTGAACTCCCTGCGCAAGGTGTCCATCATGTACATGTGCCACAACCTCAACGACACCAACATCTGGGACTCGCTGTTCGAGGACCTGCCCAAGTGCGTGAAGGGCAGCGAGAGCCGCATGCCGCCGCAGGTGCGTCCGGCCGGCGGGGAGTGGCCGAGTGGCCGCGGGGCCGCTGACCCCCCTGACCCCCCTGTGCGCAGGCGCTGGTGTTCGTGGTGCGCGCGCTGTTCTACTCGCTGCTGTGGTCGCTGCACGAGCTGGAGGAGCGCGCGGCGCAGGGCGCGGCCGTGGACGCGGACGCGGCGGCGCTGCGCGAGCGCCTGCAGGCCTACGCGCAGCACTGCCGCGACGTGGCGGCGCGCGGCGCGTCGCCCGAGCTGCGCGAGGAGGCCTACACCAGCCTGTGCGACCTGCTGGTGTTCTTCGCCGAGACGCTGGCCGCCGTGCACCACCCGGCGCTGCCCGCCGCGCGCGCGCTGGTGCTGGAGCCCGACGCGCCGCTGTGCGACCTGCTCAACGACTTCATCCAGGAGTTCGTCTTCGTCAACCACAACTACGGTAGGTCCCTGCGCGCCGCGCTGGCCGCGCTCGCCCACGCCGGTCGGGGACCGAGGACGCTTCGTCGGGTGCGGGACGGTAGGCCCGGGGTGGGTCAGCCGCTTCGACAGACTTAACGCTCGTTTATTTGCAGGTTGCGGCCGCGCGTAGATCGCGGGCGTAGTGTTCGATTCACTCGTTTAGGTTGGCACAGGCCGAATCGGTGTTAAGTACGTTCGGGGGAGCGTGAATAGTTCGCGGCAACGAGAAAAAATATGCATTATTCGGAAAGTCGGTGACCGGCGACCGCCAAGCGCCGGGGCCGCCCCGCCGCGCCCCGGCGCCTTGGCGGTCGCGTAACTGGCTGTCTGTTGCATGTGGCGCCGGGCGCGCTCCCGCCGGCCGCGCGGTAAGCCTCCTCGCCGCTCGTCTATTTTGCCTTAGTAATGCCCGCCCCCCGCCCCAGCCGCCCGCCCCTCCGGCCCGCCGCCCTCTCGACTCGCGTCACGTCACTCCTGTTGTTCCGACGATTCCCGAACGGCCGGAGGGGCTCGCCGCGCGTGCCAATAATGCATATTTTTGTCTCGTCTCAGCACCCTACGTGCAACACTAACATTACTAAGGGAAAATGTCGCGCCTCTTCGCAACGCGATCCGAGACGTACCGAATGGCAAATGAAAGTACCCCGATTTTACTGCGATTATCGCGAATAATGCCCGCCCCCTCTTTCTGAAGGCCGCGAAACGGTCTCGGCTCGCGGTTGTCGTTGGAAATACCGATAATTTTTTATAATTTTTGCGCATGGTTTACAGCTTTGATTTCGGTTTCTTTCGTTTCGGTTTCGTTTCACGCCTCTTTAGTTACGATTTATAAAATATAGCAGCTTTACTTTCCAGCAATTAATCGGAACGACCGCTTGCGAACGAACCCAGCCGTCTCGCCGCTGGCGCTTCGTTCGAGCTTACAGTAGAGAACGCATGATATTTTCTTCGTTATGTTCCCAACCCGGCCACTGTTGTTCCTTTAATTGCGTTTGACTTAACGTCAGCCTCGTAGTCTAACGCGCTCCGTCCGATGCCGCGTGACGATTTCACGGTTTTGCCGTCCGGTTCTCCGCCGCAAGTTCCCGGCGACGCTTCGGACGTTCGGTAAAAAGGCTAGAGTAGTGTAAAGCGTAGAGCGTCCGCGGCGGGACGCGCGGCAAAGCGGCGAAACGTCACGCGGCACGAGCGCCCGCTGACGCCCTGCGTGTGCGCAGACGGGCAAGACGAGCGACGGATCGAGGAGCTGCACAAGAGGCGCAACTTCCTGGCGGCGTACTGCAAGCTCATCGTGTACAACGTGGCGCCCATCCGACGCGCCGCGGACGTGTTCAAGCACTACATCAAGGTAGGCGGGGCCCCGCCGGCGCGACGCGTTCCGGGCGGGGCTGACCGGCTGCGGCCCTTGTTGCAGTGCTACAACGACTACGGCGACATCATCAAGGCGACGCTGAGCAAGGCGCGCGAGATCAACAAGCAGAGCTGCGCCATGACCATGGAGCTGGCCATGCAGGCGCTGTACACGGACGCGCGCAACCGCCACAAGCACGTGTCCCGGCAGCTGCCCGAGATGCAGGAGCTCAAGGTGCGTGCCGCGAGGCTCGCGCGCGACCTCCTTCGGCCTTTGACCTCTGAGGGAGCTTGGTCGTCCGCCGACAGGAGCTGGCGAAGCGGTTCTCGGTGATGTTCGGCCTGGACCTGGTGAAGAACCGCGAGGCGCTGACGGCGCTGCACCGCGCGGGCATCGCCTTCGCGGCCCTGGACGCGCCCGCGGCCGCGCCGGGGCCCAACCTGCAGTTCCTCGACGCGCTCGCCGAGTTCTCCAACAAGCTGCTGCGCCAGGACAAGCGCCACGTGCTGAAGGTACGCCGCCCCGGCCGCGCCGCCCCGGCCGCGCCCCGGCCGCAGCCGCCGGTCAGCACGCCGTCCGCTCGTCCGCAGTTCCTGGAGTCGCGCTTCGCGCTGGGCGCCGTGTCGTGGGGCGAGGAGTGGGCGGCGCTGAGCTCGTACCGCGCCTCGCTGCTGGCCGACGCGCCCGACGAGCGCCCGCCGCCCGCCAAGAAGCACTACGCGCGCAAGCAGCGTGAGTCCCCCGCCGCCCCGCCCCCGCCCTCCCCCGCCCTCTCACTCGCCCCTCGCCCTTCGCTTCCAGGAGGCCACGCCGAGGAGGAGGAGGGCGACGACAACGCGGACTCCGACCAGGACCAGCCCGGGTGAGCGCGTCGAGCGTCCTCTCTCCTAGTTAGCTCTCCGCTTGGTGCAGAGCCGCGGCGCGTCGCGTCGCCCGATTAGTAATATTAATCATATTTAAGTATTCCTTGTAATGAAATCAATTTTATACTTATTTTCTATGTATTGTATTATGACATTTTTGAATCGACTGACGCATTGTAGAATAGATTTTCAACCATGTTAGTATTATGTAATATTATTTATGTATTGTGATTGTCCGGTGAGGATTCCATGAAAATGTTGACCGATGCCGGTACGTTTGGTTATTGTTAGACTTAGGATATGATAAGGATGGTGTCGGAGAACGGACTAGTTAACTGACAATTTTACAGAAACTCAACTTCATGGAACCCATTTCAACAAAAGGAGCTCTGAAAGTGATCTTCATTCCGGTGTAATTAGGCTTATACTTTACTTATTACTTATTTCAACCAATAGCACCATACAGTGGAAACGAGTTTCCCACACCGGACGCGATGCGGTGCGTTGTCGATCGCAACGACAACTGATCGTATTCCGCGCCAGAATACGGTCGACAGTGCTGTGGTCTCAAATCGAAACCAAACGGGCTAAGTAAACGGATACCCGTTATTTCCACCTCGCATAACCGTCTGACGTCGTCCACTGATAAACCGAGCCATCTTGTGAGTGAGGGTCACTTAGCTCCTGTTTACAGATAGTTACCTATTTCACTATAAATGAAATTTTGTAGCATTTTGTAGTTCCAATGAGGGGTTTGGCTAAGGATAAGACGGTATATTTTTATATTAAATGACATTTGTTATAACATATGTGTTGTCGTTTATACTTACTCTATTATGTGTTGCACTAACAGTACCTATTTGTCCCACAAATGTCTTTTAGGTTTCTAACAGAACACCTGCATGCTAATTTTGATTCAAGTCGGAACCGAACCGATCGGTAGCCCACCCGAGTCTCGAAACCAGACTGGTTTCTGAGCGAGAAGATGAATCTGATTCCTACTATATCTATCTAATTTGTGAGTTAAATCAACTATTGTTCCGATTTGAAAAGTCAAAAGCCATTCCGATCATTTCCGATCGGCCACTTGTGAATCGCAATCATGCGCCTTGACTCGGAAGAGACGCTGTTTCCGATCGGGAGAATCATGCAAAATCAAGCTGCAGCTCAACATAGCGAAGCGGCAATGTTTATCGTCTTGTCGATTAGCGATACGCGACTTTGAATGTTACTAACACTAATCATTCGAATGGGCAAATCATTCGCCGAAGTCGAATCGAAGCACAATCATTCACAAGCATGAGTCGAGTGATTATTATATCGGAACTCCACCAGATCATTCGCCGTGTCCATATCAAAATATCCCTGTCCCCGTCATATTCACGAATATCGTTGTGCTCTATGGAATCTATGGGTTTTAGTATTTGAATGATCGTTCTCATAATTCGAATACGAAAATTAGTATGTGTTTACTCGAATGACCGGATTAGTAGTTGCTAACGAGTCGAATATTGAAACCGTGACATCAACTTATCCGAAGAATAAAGTCCGATGTGATTATATAGCGAAAAGAGAATAAGTACGTTACGAGAATAATTACGTTATTCAAAGTAAGGCGTATGTAAAGGTGTTTTGAGAATTTATGTATCTTATTTCATTTCGGAAATATAAAATTGAACAACGGTCGATCCAACATCCACAGCGAAGAAGAACGAACGAAATGTACTATGTCCTGAGAAAAAGTAGTCTTGCATATGGATCTTTGTTCTACGGATGAGGCGACATGCCACGCCACCAATTTTTTTTTGTTGTGATATTAATATACGGCTAACGTATACGATGTACATGTCATTTTTGTGAATGTACTACTATTAGTTTAAAAGAAAAAAAAAAACATTTCCGGTGATGTGGGTACGGAGAATGCTCTACAGCCGCGCCACCTATTATTAATACTTGCAGATGCAATTTTAGCAATTTTTCTGAATGTAGCCACTGTACAAATGCTGTGTAATAAGTACATTTAAAAATAATTGATTAAAAATATATTATAGAATTGGACAATTGAAATGTAACAGAATTCACTTACATTTTGCCTATTTTTTTGATATGTACATAGTACAGAGCATTCGTATATTGGCCACATTCAGAAAAATTGCCAAAATTGCAATCTACAAGTATTAATAATAGGTGGCGTGACTGTAAACACCGTACGCCGTACTGCACGCCACCGTAAATGTTTTTTTTTTTCTTTTAAACTGACAGTAGTACATTCACAAAAGTCACATGTACGTCAGCCGAACATTACATGGGCTATATCATAATAAAAAAAATTTGATGGCGTGGCCACAGAACATTACGCTTGAAATTATTCGCAATCGTGGATCGCTATTGTCGATTATCGAAGCTGAGACTGTAGTGTAAAAAACCAGAATATAAAATGTTTGATTGTGAGGTACTGCATGCAACAAAGCCTAAGCGCATCTCTAAAAAGAAGAGTAGACAATAAGAAAGCAAATTACCGGTTATTTCATGGAGTTTTACGGAATTTATGGTGTTTGTTTGGTGTTTGATTTCAACGTAGGTAAGTTGCTATTCAGATATAAGCGATATTCGCTACCGCTGCTGTGGGTAGCCAAAAGTATTAATTACCACAGTTAATGGATTATCCCGCGCGGGTATTTGTGTGAAGCTCCGCGGCTAGAGGGAAACTGAAATACCGCCCACGGCGGCGGTATTTATTAGCTCGCTTTGAGCAATGGTTTCGCCCACAGAACAATAAATGTCTTAAAACCCTTCTATCGGTTTAGTGGGCGTGACACGTGGGCCATCAATACCAAGCAGTAATGACGTCGCCAAGCAGTAATGTGAGCGTTACAGCGTTCCGGTTTTGAAGGGTAAGGGTGCTAGTGGAATTACAGGCATATATTCATTGCTAATATATATTATATTGCATCAAGTGACGGGTCGGACAACTAGAGTTGCCAAATGATGTGTCGGGGCGACGGGCGCAGTGGCAGTGTCCCTCAGATCTTTCCGATTTAAAGCTCTGCGTGGCGCTGCAACTGTTATGGGCAGACGTGCCGCTTAAAAGCAAGCGCAAGACGTGTTCGTCCCGTTACTTAGTAGCATAGCAAAAAAAGCACGGGGAACCCAGCGAACTTCGTCGTGTCAATTATCTGTCACAAACCCTCGAAAATAGTATTAGGTATTTATATCAGTATAATATAATATTTTTCGTTGATTCACTAACCAGAATAATCCTGAAGGTTTATTTAAAAAAAAAATTGGACAGATACTTTATAATAACGTAACCAAGATATTTGAAATTGCGTGTCCAACGTTATCATTACTTAGTTAATAATTATATTCACTACATATTTATCGGCAATACAAATTTAAAATTCAAGAATCCTTGTCTATTACATCTCATAATGAGATATAATAAATCTGTTATATATTACTCTGCACTGAATAAATGAAGGAGACGAATAACTGAATAAGACTCGGTCATAAGTTTTTTTTTCCATTTTTCGGAAAATGAAACACACTACTCTTTATTCCGTTTAGATGATGATAAACAGCCGTACACATCACAACTCACGAATATTATGCATAGGAACGTACACTGATGGTATATATTAACGTACAAGTTTCTTAATGAATAAATGAAAACTTTATTCAAATATCAAATCCGTCTTAATGCGAAAACGGCTCGCCGAGAGCCTTGTTGCCGTTCAGTCAACATGACCGTCAATGTGCGGGGCATGGTGCGGTATCTAACGCTAGGGAGGGGCGGAGAGTGTCCATTCTCGTTACTTTTTGTTCTCTAACAGAAGTGAGATGTCTAGACGGGCGAAAATCAAGAAAGTCTCTAATCAATAGCGGTACCCGCATAGGTTTTCACAGAATACCGTGTGCGGTAGCAAATGTCACGTATGTCTGAACAAGTCTATATATCGGTAATAGCGCATTTACACTGGGTTGACAGGTGATCGTCGCTTGCTCGCCGAAGGCTGCAACAGTGTGAACACAGTTTTATGACCGTAATTCGCTACTGAAGATGGTGGAGTAGACCATGTAATCTAATGGACACGCGAATGATTTCAAAATGGTGATTTCGCGATGAACGACACTGAATCTTGACTATCCACAACCATAGCGCGTTTTCCCGGTGGCTATTAATATAAATGGATAGATGTTAATGGCAATTTTTGGTGAAAACAGGCTGGCGAGATTTCAATTCTCACTTGTCACCTCGTTTCGTCTCGTCAAGCCTCGCTGATGGAAATGTCGACAGGTCGCCTACGTTTGCCTGCCAAAGATGCATCTACCCAGTGTAATACAGTCGTTTGACGGCCGTAGTTGACTGCTGAAATGGACCGAGTCGACTAGGTGTGATCACTGTCGGACGACTCGGTCGCCTTAGGCAAGCGACTCGCGATCAGACTTGTATTTATGACTAGGTGGTTTCGACGAAGGTGAATAGGAGTCGACAGCGGTTCCGTCGGCAAGGCGAACTAGGTAGTTTGCCGAAGGCGGCTGTTGGTCATGAGCATAAATATGCCATTAATTTATGCTATTGGTTAAGCTCCGTCACACCCTTTTGACGTGGCCGTTGTACACTTTCATGTGTCCATTACAATACGCGCGCGCCGTCTTGCTTATGGCGCACAGGACCGCGAAGGAAAACATTTGTTTCGAGTTCAAGTTAATAAGTTTAAAAAAAAAAAAGGTATTTAAAGTGCTCGTTTTAGACCCACTTTCTGTTACTGATATAATATACCCTTTCCGTTATATCGCGTTAACGGTAGGTCCGTTATAACGCGATACAACGGACGGTTTAAAGTTTTCGAGAAAACTAAAAATTGATTTTTTTGATTAAAATGACAAGTATGCAATTAGATATTTTGCGTGGCACACGAGGTACGGATCCTTCGGCTTGCGAGTCGGTGGTGACGCGGATCCGGCCGCGCGAAGGTGCCGTACCTCGTGTTCCGCGGCGGAGCTCTAACGGGCGCCCTCGCGCAGGCGCCGCTCGCTGCGGCCGCGCCGCGCAGCCCCCGCCGGCGGCGGCGACGCCTCGCGGGGCCCCGGGGGCTGCAGCGCCAAACGCAAGCGGGACCAGTTCGCCGAGAACAGTTCGCTGAAAACTAAGGGAGCCCAGAAGGCGTATCCGGATAATACGGTTAGCGACAAGATCGCGGACGACGGTGACGCTCATCGCGAGGCGCGACGGCTCCGCGCGAAAAGACTGCGCGTGGGCGAGGCGCGCTTCGGCTCAGCGCCTTCTCCGAGGTGCGTTTTTACATTCTGTGAAGCGATTGGATACGTCGTTTATTATTTGACCTAAAATTAATACTTACAATTGCGTGACATTAAATTTAGCCACAAATAGAGGTCCGGTTCTTACAAAAGAACGATTGTATTGAAACGCAGTCGAAAATGTTAGAACCTTGGGCACGTGCAGGTCCGTGAAGTCGGAGGCCGAGCCGGCCGTCGCCCAAATGCTCATCCGCGCAGACGTGCACGCGCCGCCGGCAGACGTACACGTACCGAGGTACTGTTCAACGTACAGTTACGGCAATTACATTTTCTATTTTGCATCTCCGATCTATAGCTGTCTCTTTCTCCTTCTCCGACATTGCTTATGGAAATGAAAATACACTTTGACAACAAATATGACTTGTAACTACGCCTCTTAAATTCAGTAGATATTTGTTCAGTCCCATCTAAAGTAGAATCAAAAGTAGAGAAAATGCAAACTTACGAATTTGTCCCATAACAGTAAGAGCCTGGTATACGTTGGTGAGCTTAAATGTTCCGATTTTGGTTTTTGCTTCCCTTTATTAACTTCAAATAGGACGGATTTCGATTCGAGACCTTTTCACTTCTGTAATTTACATGCTTCGAGCAAAATGTAAGTATAAAATACATTTTTTTTTATGCTCGACAACTGCGCGGTAAAAGCAGCAGCGGCAGCGGCAGCCGCTCCATGTCGCTGACGTCGCCCGAGGCCGAGCGCGAGATCGCCTCGCATCTCTACGGCTAACAGAAGCTACCGACTACAGTGCCCATTCATTTTTCGTATGTAAAAGAATAGTTATGTTTGATTTTTAAAAGTGCGACATCCCAATGCAACGTCGTGCCTTTATTAACAATGAAAAGATTTGTTTTGGTTTTTAAGACGGATCATAATGATTCACGTTAGTTTCTGAGCAACTCGTATTTGCTGATTGTGAACGTCGAAACTCACTGATAGGAGATAGTTATTTCGGAAGACTCACGTGCGTTTCAAGTGAGCACGAAGGAATTTTACGATTGTACTTAGTTATTTTTTATTTAAATTTTTATGTGGTAACTTCATAAAATGTGGACCCGGGCCTTATTCCAGCGTAACCATTATCGAGTTGTTATAATTGAATAATTAGATATGTAAAAAGGCATGATGGAGGCGGATTCTGTAGCAAAAAAGTAAATTTAGCCAGTTGTAGTCACAGAACAGGCTAAATTTACTTTAGAACTTGATTTAACTGATGCAGTGTTTTAAAGTTATGAGTGTTTACTGTCCGCGCTTAGCTAATGCTACTCTGGTAGCACCTTTTTCAATCTCGAAAACCATAGCACCTAGCATCAATTAGATCACTTCCAGAAAAAGTCACGGTTCAGCCGGTTCTAGTAGGAAATCGATTGACTAAGGTTATGGTTACTGTACACGCGAATTCGGATGAAGTCCTTGTGGGCGTTTAGTGTTATATGATCAAATGTAAACATTAATTCTAATTGATGTAATTCATGTAAATCCCACATCAAAATAAATATCAAATCGTACTTACTGCTAGTGTTGAGTTCCGTAGCAACTTTCTCCCACTTTTGCCGAGAAATATTTCTGTTATGATCATTTCTGCCTCTCATATCCATATCCCACAAACACTTGTTCTCGTACACAAGACTTATCAATTTATCGTTATCCATGGTGTAATAACCAAATTACTCGAAATTCAAAGGACGAAAACACCCAAAACTGGCGAATGTCGCACGACAAAATCAAACGAGTTTGAATGCTCAACTGGTTCTGACGATGTCGTGCATGTTCTGACGTATTCGTCGTTGTCATTAAAAAACATGCGTTCGTTTGTTCGGCTGAAGTCGTCAGAATATATTTTCGTCAAAACTCGCATCCATAGTAATCGTAGCTTAAAAGATGATTTTTTTTATCTGATTCGTTTAAAATTCATTAATGGTGACCATGGAATTAGTCAAGATTTTTAAAGTTATTTTTGAGATAGTAATTTTATTTCTTGTTTATTTTTAAAAGGCCTACGGTTATTGATTTTGTTAGTAACACGAATAAACAGATTTAATTCGAAGTATGTTTTTGAATTATTACTTATTGTATTGCCTGTGACTTTTGGAAGTAATTTGTTAGCACAAAAATGATGAGAAACGAGCATGAGTAAAATTATTAATTAAAATGAGTGAAGTGTAGCTGTAAGTTTAAATGTGTTCTTGTGTAAAAAAACAGACCGTGCATACTAGAAAGGTCGAGGAAAAGAAGAAATTGATTACTACAAACTAGACAGATTTTTGTAGCGGAAGCAGGTGTGACGGGCTGGTTTATGGTTTCTTCGCATTCCAAGTGATCTATTGATTCTTCTCCAACCGAAGTCAAAGACTACTCCGATTTCTTGTCGCGTTGAACACATCGCACTTTTGAAATGACTCTGATCTAACTAACGAAATTAACAAAATGAGTATACTGTAAAACGACAAATCATTGTTCACAAGGTTTATTAATCTGGTACGGCCTACTAAAGCTCGAATGGCACAGACTCGCTTTATTGGGTCTCTTTCATATCTTTGAAATTCCACTCCCTGCACCGACGTGCCTAAGTAATAGTCGCATTCAGTGTTGATTTGTTTCTGCAAAAACAACACTCTACCACCGTTGCCCGTTTATGTTTAGATTTTTACAAACGCGACTTACTTTGCGACTTGGAGGACTTTCTTTCGCAATTCAAGATCATAACATTTTGATTACGGTTCCACAGGTACATTACAGTAGTGCCACCCTGACCAACGAGCATTCGCCTGTAGTGTCACATCCAAGGCTCGATTTTGTTTGAGCATTACATTACAATACTGTCTCTCATTGGAACGGTGCGGCAAGTTCTCAATTTGAACAGTATCCGACATGGTAGGTACAAGGTACTGTTTTATGCAGACTGTCGCCGCCATCCTCCTGTTACTACTTTTCGTAAGGAAATCCTTAGAGCTACCTTACTCGAGGCCCGTGCACAGTCGTCGAAAGAGGGGTCGAAGCTTACAAAATAGATTTCGGATGAAGAACTACCAGCATTGTATCAATCAACAGAATTAACTTATTATTTAACTAACAGAATTATCATGCGATCTGATGAGGGAAGTCTCACAACTTTTTTATTTCTTTATTTTTTTATTATACACGCCTGTCTATAACAGTTGCAGTGCCACACAGAGCTTTAAATCGCAAAGATCTGAGGGGCACTGCCACTGCGCCTATCACCCTAAGACCATAAGTTGACAAGTCCCATGTGCCTGTTTTTTTTTGCAATTGCACCAACACCTTTAAAACCGGAGCACAGTAACTGACATTACTGCTTGGCGGCAGAAATAGGAAGGTGGCAGTACTTCCCTGAACGAACCTTTCACAAGGAGCTCTACTGCTACTAAAGTTATTGACCTTAAGTCTCAAGAAGGGCTGATTTGGTGATCCGCCTCCTTGTTCTTTTTGATGTTATATATGTCTTCATTTGAAAAAATTCAATTTTGTTTTAATTGCAAAGACGAAGACGCTCTGAGGCCCAGATTGTAAATTGCCCTAACCGCACGTTTCTACAGTCAGTCTTGCAGAAACGATTGTATTCACTTCAGCGGCATTACCTATGCCAAAGCAAAACGCCGTATGTCATTAAACTGTTAAAGTAGCTGAAGTAAACCAGTCTAGCTGTTTCGACGTCTGAAGAATTTCATCTATGAATCATGCTAGGCAGGATTTGTACGCAGCTCTTTCTTTCAAAAACATTTTTATGCAAATGCAAATAATGTATTAAGAATTACCAAAAGGTCAATAATATTTACAAGTTACGAATACATTACGTTTTCTGGACTATTTTTTATGGGGATAGGATTCATTATTGATGTTTTCCAAAGTAAGGGTTTTTCAGTGAAACAAAAGACATGAGTATGAGGGATATTAACAGTATCATATCCGCACTAATGCTACGCGATCCCAATGCATTGGATTTTATTCTAAGAATAGCTCTAGCAAAGGCGCTTTTGTCAACGGGATAAGTTTAAATGTTGATTCTAAAAGTTGGCAATTTTGACATGGAACGGGCTTTGATCTCCATTTTCTCATACCTACCAATTGTACCTGTTCTGAGGACCGCACTAGGTGTAAAAAATAATAATGGTTTTTCAGGAACATTATTGGGACTAATATGTTTAATAAAAGACCAAAACTGGGATGACAACGAATGATGGGGTGTGATGACACATGTCCACTTGGCGTACAAAAAGTGCCTGTTAAAAAGTAACAGCAAATAATTTTTATACATTTTAAACTATTTAAATATTTATGCGCTGTTGTCTTTCTTTAACTCACGGATACTGTTCGAGTTCTTAGGTTTTCGCGATTGTTATACATAGGAATGAAACTATTTTTCCGGATTTAAATCGCGTATATTTGTTTTTTCAAACAAACCGTTTTGTTTGAAAAAACAAATATACGCGATTTAAATCCGGAAAAATAGTTTCATTCTCACGGATACTGTTCAAGACAGGTTCATGACCAGGTACATGAGAAGAATTGAAGGGGCCGCAACAATAGTAATAAAACCTTTATTTGTCTCAACACATTAATAAATAATGTAAGTACGTACGCAAAGTCTATATACATTACCATTTAGTTTAGTACCACTTCATAGATAGTGATAAACAAAATGGCGGAAAATTTTACATACTACGTATACATATTACGAAAATTTTACATTTTACGTACATCGAGCCATATTTAAAACTATAACAAGGACTAACTTGCACATTTTTTGTATTGTATCTAGCTACATATTAACAGTAAATTTCAATAGTCAGCACAACTCAAATGATTGCAGTATGGATATTAATAATACTTATATGTGGATAAATCTTCACATTCAACCACCTATAATCACAAAGTCCGTTTTCAAGGATTGCATAATCGGCGTAATGTCAGAGGTTTCGAAAAATAAATGAAATTGCAGTCTCAACAGATGTAACTATTTCGCCGCTCCGGGTAAAATGATATTTGCCGCCCTTTACAATGACACCATAAAAGTTATGAGCATATTATACTAGAGACGGGATAGTGTACTTTTAACCGGCCGACGACTTATGTATGTACTATTGTATAGGCCACTTGGGGCTAGTGAACGATTATACCTTTCGTGACTGCATATTTGTAAGTATGTTTGTCCAAAAATTTATCAGAAACTACTCAATCACTTTAGTCGAAAAACGTCCACTGCTGAATACAGGTTCCACCAAAAATTACTCAAAATAATAAAATAAATCAGAAGTTTAAAAGATTTGTACAAAAATGTTACAATATGTTTTCGAGACAGCCATGATGTCCTGGCATCTATTTTGGGTCAAGGTGGATCGCAGATATTTTTTTATTATTTTTAACTTGGAAAAGTTTATCTCAGCACTTGCAATGGTTACTGGTAAAGTTAATAGAATTCTGAGAGCAAAACTGACATTTGGACCAAATTTTAAATCTGTTCTATATTTAAATAAAATCGGTAAAATTATATTATATACAAGGCTTATTAGGAGACAGCATTAAATAAGTTATAAGACAGTACTTTAAATAATATTGTTGTTGTTGTAAAATAGTAATAAAAAAACCGCAGAACATACGTTTAGTTCGGGTTCGGGCAACGAGCTATCGAGTGCAACATCCTGAATGACAAATTGTCAGGCCGAATTACGAACAATGATCTGCGCTCGAAAACACGAATCGTAGATGTGGGCCAGCAAGCGGGTAAACTGAAATGAGTCGTGGGCTAAGGCCACCACAGAATGGATTCCCAAACTTAGAAAGCGACCATGCGGCAGGCCAACAGCGTCGATGGGTAGAGTAGACGAGCACCTAAAAGACTGGACTTCATTGGTGCAAAACAGAGAGGTGCGGAGAGAGGGGAGGGAGGCCTTTGCCCAGCAGTGGGACAGTGTTGGCTTGAAAAAAAATTCAGTGGGTATGTTTTTCATTCGGTTATTTCCTTATTTTTGTTTGCATAAAAGTCTTCGGAAGGTGCCTTTGTAACTGTAGCTAAAATAACGCAATAATATTGAGAAGTAAGAGAAAGATCTTTATTTCACTTTTCGGAGCTCGTATTACTATCTACCCCTTAAACAGTAGTCAGATATAAAAGTTTAATTTAGAAATGAATTGAATTTCTGGCATACTAATTCGCAGACGACATAGCTGCTTTAGCTGAGAACGGTCAGCAGTTGCAAGAGCTAATATCGAGCATGGATGTAGTGTTTACAGAACTTGGACTAAAGATTAATATTAATAAAACAAAATTACTCACCAGTTGTAAAAATCCAAAACTCTATACCGTTAAACCAATCCTAAAGCTAAACGACAAACCATTGGATGAAATAACTAACTTTAGATACTTGGGCAGTTTGATAACCAGTGATTCCAGGTGTACCTCGGACATAGTTTCACGAATTGCAATGGCTAAAAGGGCTTTCATCAACAAAAAACATCTATTAAAAGCAAAAATTTCAAAAAAGGCTAGGAAACAATTAATAAAAGTGTATATTTGGTATTGCATTGTATGGCAGTGAGATGTGGACAATGACACAGAGAGACAGAGAACGATTGGAGGCATTTGAAATTTGGTGCTGGAGAATAATGGAGGGAATCAGTTGGATGGAAAGAAAGACCAATGAGGAGAGTATTAAGAATAGTGAACGAAAGGAGAAGTTTATTAAAGACAATAGAGAACCGAAGGGGGAAAATGTTTGGTCATCTGATGCGTTACGACAGTTTTCTTAGAAACATAATAGAAGGGAAGGTCGATGGAAAGAGGCAGAGGGAGACCGAGACGAAGTTATTTAGGTCAGATAAAGGAAAAAGTCAATTTCGTGTCGTATCCGGAAATCAAGGCTAAAGCGCTAAACAGAGATGACTGGAGATTACTCCACCGACAAGA